AAAGTATTGGTATATGAGAAACTTGGATCAATAGTTATGCCTCACATGCTCTAGTGAGTACACAGCAATCCTAATTGCTTTTAAAATATCAAAAAATAATTAACTACAATGTTACAAAGTTCCTTTTGATCTCTGTCTCCTGGTCATTCCAGTTCCTTGATGCCTCTTTTTCCCCCACCAAAGGACACTTCTAAGTCTCACAAATGACAAAATCCCAGCTCCACATCAGTAGAGCATTGGCCAGCCTCCCCTCTATCCAGACCCTAAGGAAGTAGGAGACACAAGCAGGCCTAGAGTTCTGTAGATGTATATGTAAATATGTATATACATACATATGTATACACGCACACGTTCAAGCAGCAGACCTGATGGCCATGTTTATGGGCTCATTTCATAAAGAATGGGAACAAGAAGATTTGCTAAGACATGAGAGCCATCTTTGATACTTTTCTATTTCTGTGACAGAACTCCACAACTAAGGCAACTTATAAGAGAAAGCACTTGGCTGGGCTTAAAGGCTGCAGGGGGCTTGTATCCATGATGGTGGGGCAAAGTGATGGCAGATGGAATAGTGAAAGCCCACATCTTGAGCTATAAACAGGAGCAAGAAGGCTAACGGGGGATGGCAAGAGTTTTTTGAAGCCTCAAAGCCTACACACCGTCACATACCTCCAACAATAAGGCCATCCCTCCTAATCTTCCCCAAAAAGTTTCACCAACTGGGGAACAAGAATCCAAATATAAACCTATGGGGGCAGTCTCATAAAGCCACCAAAGGACCGGATGGGAGAGGGTGCTGTAACACCATAAGAACCACAGAATTTGGGGCCTCTCATTCCTCCAGGATTGAGCCAAACTCCTCATAAGATAATATCAATAAAGTGAGATTTAAATTCAAACCCATCACCACCTTTGGGCAATTTAGGGACAAGACTGATTTTATGATCTTGAATCTCCTTGCTTTAAGTGGAAAGAGCTGCTGAAGCTGGAACAATGTTCCCGTAAAATGCTCAATATGCAGAGCACACAGCCCATACGCGGGGCTAGGCTAAGCTTTAGTACTTAGCTGATGCGTTTGAAGAATGAAGCTATATAGATGCAGACCTGGTAAAATAAGATGATGTTTCTTATTTCTATTCAGACCCGACAGTATTAGGCCTTTTTGGTTTTGTTGCTTGTCTGCTGCTTTTGTCTATTATGTTCACCTCCCTTGAACATCAGCCCTTCCTCCATGGCCACAGGCAGAGCAGCCAGCCCATCACAAGAAGATAGAATACGGCAGAGATTGGTTATTAGATCAGCTAGTAACGTGGCTCGCTCCTAATCTTTTCTGCTTCTGCTGCAAGAAGCTGTTTAACTGGGATCAAACCATAGAAAAAGAGCTAATCACCAATGCACAGCTGAGCTGTCAGAAAGTAGGTAGTGGTCATTTGATATGAGGCCCAATAGTGAACAATATTCATAAGTTCATTAGACAGTGGTGCAGGCCCAGGTGGCCTGTGTGTAGAGGAAGCACTCAGTGGGTCTTCTCTTCTTCCACCCACTCCGAGGTCCCAGTATCCGCTCTTCCTGGTTCCCCCTTGAGGTGGGTTCATGAGATGCTCTTATAGCCTCTAAACTTGCCCTTTATCCCTCCACTCTTAGAATTTCCATCTGATTTTCATGGCTTTGATAAGGACCGCTACAGTGTCCTCGCAAATTTTGCTTCTGGTTCTGAATTCTCTGGACCCTTTCCAGAACCAATTTTAGGCCTACATTTCTGAAGCTTCCTGGACATCTGTAGTAATCTCAAATCTGACATGCTCAGAGCCAAACTCACTAATATTTTCTGATTGCCATCCATCCATCCATCCATCCATCCATCCATCCATCCATCCATCCATTTATAAGTACTGGGTCAAATACTGGGGATGAGGATAAGGCTTTTCTTAGTTTTATGATCTCAGAGTGTGACTCAGAATCAAAGACTTGGAACTTATGAGTCAAAAAATATGAGTGACTGATTCCCAATACTCAAAGTTCATTAATGTAAAATGAACCTTCAAGCTGAGGGAGAAAAGATGGTTAGTTTATGTCACATTTAATATCTGCAAAGCTAATACCCAGACCAGACCTATTAATTTGCCAGTTTCTATCAAAGATGTCATAATTCTCCCAGTCACTCCAATGAGATCAACAACCCTTACACTATCTCAAGCTCAGTGGCCAATCAAAAAGCATGTTGTGTCTTCCTTTTGGCCATGTCTCATATCTGCCATCTCCTTTCCCTTCGAACCACCCCTGGGACTGTTCCAGGCCGCTGTTACCCTCCTGAAATCACCCTGATCTTGGCTGCAGGCCTGTTTATTCTGCCCCTTGTCTTCCGCCACCGCCTGCTGACGAACCTGTACCATTCAACTCTCCTTCTAGCCACCCTCCTCCAAGTCAAGCCACACATGGGTAAAAGGGTAAACGTTCTGACTCCCCTTGAGCACGCTACTCTCCGGTGATGTGTCTCAGATCCCCCTCAGCACCGGCTAAGCTGGGACCTTCAGAACATCAGCCCCAGGGGTTATGCTATGGGAGGGGTCTGATGATGCTTGGAAAAGTGCTGTTTGAACTTTGCCGCTTGGACAATCACCTTCTCTTTCCACACAGCTTCTCTCCCAAATTCATTTGGCCCCCAAACTGCTTTTGCAAAGAACATACGTTATTGTCTCTCCCATCCAGGGTCTCCAGAAAAGCAATGGGAGACAAGAACCTGTCGGCTGCACGTGATAGGCTACCTTCCCTCTGATTATCTTCCCAAGCGTTCTGCTCACTCTGTTCTGCTCACTGTTATTCAGCCTGCTCTGAACAGTGTGTTTCCTTTCCCCCTGGCTTCCATCATTTCTCTAACTGGGAACACTCCCCTCCCGTTCCACTCAATTAAAACTTAGCCTTTCTCTGATGTCCAGTTCTGGTCCCTTCTCCTGTGAATCCTTTCCAAAGCTCTCAGCTGAGACTACTGTAACTCGTTTACCTGCCTCAGAAAGCCAGGCTCTCTATAGGAAGAAATTTATGTGTTACGAAGCTAGAGAAATAGCATGATTTTCTTATAAAATTGCTTCCAAAGTAATTTAAAGGTGAGACCACAGTACACGCACACATACAGAATGATCAGATCTTCAAGCAGCAGGCTTAAGATCAATAAATAACTTACCTTGAGAATGCAAATTAATATAACAACTATAGACAGACAACAAGACAGATCATACTTAAAGATAAAAAAAGAGCGTTGCCATGTGCCAATGTATGCCATTACCCAAAGGAAATGAAGTCAGTGCACATAAAGAAGCCTGCATTCCCATGTTTATTAACGCTAGTCACAATAGCCCAGGTGTGGAATCAGCCTGATGAACACATAGAGAAAAGATGGACTATCCATAAAATGGAGTGTCATTTATAGGAAAAGAGAGAGAACCAGAGGTCACCATGTTAATGAAATATCAGGAAGACAAGTAGCCACATGTTTTCTCTCACATGTACAAGGTAGGATGACCCAAAAGGAGCCCTGAAAGTGGTAGAATTGGCTACAAGGGAAGGTAAAGGGACCAGGGAAGAAGGGCCTCGTCTCCAGTGACTTGCACAGTGGGTCACAGAAAATGACCACCCAGAGGATGCCTCCAAGGAGACAGTACTTTCTCGGAGATTCACAGCATATGTAGAGCCTATTGCTTCTCAATTCAGCCCTGGGAACAGAGATAGAAGGACAACAATCTGCTAAGACAGTGGCACGTCCTACAGGTTTGTTCACCATCCGGCTTAAATGGCAACAGTGAGGCAAGGAGATCGAGCTTTGGACTTTCTCAGCTCCTGTTGTGGGTGCTAGCCTTACACCCGTCTATGCCTGCTAAGCAGGAAGCAGGTATCCCAATACACAGCACACAACAAATTTAAAAAAAAAAAAAAATCTGTCAGCAGGGCTCGGGGATGGATCACTGGGCAAGAGTGCTTGCTGATCAAACATGGAAATCAGAGTTCAAATCCCTAGCGCCCATATAAGAATGTTGGGTGTGGTCATGTGTGCCTGAAACCCAGACACTAGGGAGCAGAGACTGGTGGATCCCGGCAGCTAGCTAGCCGGTTGGTCTAGCTGAAACAGTGAGCCTCAGGTTTGGTTAGCTCTCCTGTCTTGAGGGAATAAAGTGAAGAGCAATAGAGGGAGACGCTTAATAATGTCTTCCTCTGACACATGCATGAAGTATATACCTACATACACACGAGGCACACAAATAACACACACACACACACACACACCCCACAGCTGCTAGAAACTTTTTCAACAGGATGCATTATTTTTATCTAGGGCATGTACATGTGTGATATCATGTATGTGCACCACATGCATACAGGTGCCTATGAAGCCAGGAGAGGGAAGGGCATCATCCCCTGGGACTGGAGCCACAGGCAGCTGGGAACAAAGTTGGGTCCTTTGCAAAACCTGTATGTGCTCTTAACCTCTGAAGCGTCCCCCCAGGCCCCCTGCTTTCATGTTGAGACCTTCAAGTAGAGCGGTACTGAGTTTGCTCTGTAGACTCAGTCCACGGTGGACAGCCCTGGATAGCCTGTGAAGTCAGACATGGGTGCCCACTGCACGTGGTTCCTGGCACAGACCATATAATCAATAACTGCTTATACTGAGTGAGCTGAAGACAAAGTCATTCTCAGTCCTCGGGAGCTTAGTCTACGTGGGGACATCTAGAAGTGTCTGACTGAAGACAGTTTTGGTGGTCACGGCGGGGCAGCTAGAGGGTGAACGCAAGCGTTTTCACACACGAGGGACCACTGTGACCGGGGCACAGAAAGTGTGACCTGGTAGCATTGTCACCATCAACCCTCAGGCAGTGTCTCACAACAATCGAGGCCCCACAACTCAGGACTTGCTAGGCTGCCCCAGAGTGGAGAATCTAGGGGCAGCAGCCCTGCGCCCCACCCCCGACTGTGTTCACTAGACGGTCAGATTGGATCCGGGTGCTCACCAGGGGCTCCATCATGAAAATGTGATTCAGAAACATCATGCTGTCTTCGAGAACCTGATTCCTCTGGTTCTCAAAGGTGCGGGAGAGTACGGAAATGTGTTCTCGGAGTGACTCATCCAAGATGCAATCTTCAAGAAACTCCTTGGTTTCAGTCCTTTCCTCCTCGTCCAGATCATCACAGACCCTAAAGAAAATGAGGAAATGTGAGGGTCACCGTGGGACGCCATGAGGAATTGTGTACAGGGGCTTGCTTCCAGTCTCCTCTCCTGGGAATATCCTCACATCTCCCCTGGGTGGTCCCTCTTTGTCCCGAGTCTGCAGTGAGCAGGTGACCTTGTTTTGCCTTCTCAGAACTTTCAGAGTTTGATGATCTTTTGTCACCTCCTTCCAGAAGTCCTCTGGGATTTCTTCCCAGAATGTATCTGAACAAATATTTCCTTTTAGATAGTTGTGTTTTCCAGGCTTATTTTTAAATTATTTAGCATCTGCCCCATCTCTCACACGGAAAGGATGACTTTGTTCCTGTTAAATTTGCCTTGCCTTAATTCTTTCCTAGCAATTAGTTATCTAGGGAATGGAGCTGGTGAGGGCTGGGTTTAGATACTGATTTTACAATCTATTTCCTAGCTCTGAGACTCTGGGAGCTGCCCTGGTCTTCTAAACCTTAATGCCTGTTCCCATAAAATAGAATTGATGGGAACAGAGTTCCTAATCTAAGAGATGGGGCTTAATGGTGACCCAGGTCCTGTTTCAGTTCCTGGCACAGGGTGGGTGCTTTCTCGGTACCATCTTGTTGCCTGGGTCAAGCATTCACAGTGTCTAAGATGCCAAGCTTGTACAATGCTTGATGCACACTAGAAGATGTCTCCTTTATTCGCTCTCCAGTTCGTACGGTCTGCCACAGTCAGTTGCTGCCCTCACTTTCTGAGGTCTCCTTTCACCCGGGCTCTGCTCTCCTGCTGGACACCTGCCCCCGTCCTCAGCACTGCACTGCTGTGACCCTGGTGACAGCTCATATTTAGCAAGTGAGTGTCGAATGGGCACCTGGGGTCACCGAGTTCCTCAGCTCCGACTTTCCAGATGACCTCGTATGAACCAGAGGCTCCATTTTGTTAAATGGCTCTTTTAAATAATGTTCCGAGCCCTTTGGCTATATGTAACACAAGGAAACTAAATAAATGAGCTTGGTGGTGTGTTCCAGATCCAAGGAAGAAAGCAGCCTGCACTTCTCTTCTGCTTCTAGGTGGGAAACAGTATCCAAGGGAACCAACAGCGGTCCTCCTGTGCCACTGGCCATATCAGCTCAGGATGAAAGGAACCTGGTTCTTTTCATTTTGCTAGCTGGCAACCATCTGAAAGGCTTACAGATTGCACATTATCTGTGTGGTGGTTTGACTGAGAATGGCCCCTGCAGACTCACATGTTTGAATAGTCAGTCCCTGCTTGCTGAAACTATGTGGGAAGGACTGGGAGGCGTGGCCTTGTTGGAGGAGGTGTCTCACCAGGGACAGTGTTTGAGGTTTCAAAAGGCCCAGGCCATTCCCAGTGTGCTCTCAGCTCTCAGCTGTTCCTGCCTCTACGCCTTCACTACTCTATACTGAATCCTAACCCTCTGGAACTGTAAGCCAATTAAAACTTTTTTAAAAAGTACATTGCCTTGTTTGTGGTGTTTTATTATGGCAATAGAAAAGTAACTAATATAATTTGAAACAAGAAACTGCACTTGCAGTAATAAATTCTAAAACAATCATAGAAAGAAACAAAGGTAGAGCTACATTGACCTTCTTTACAATACGGGGAAGTAAAGTGGGTAAACTGTATGTAAGGGCTTGATGCCCTGGAACTAGAGTTATAGAGAACAGTGAACCACCATGTGGATTCTGGGAACTGAACCCTGGTCGTCTGCAATACCAGTGAGGCCACTTAATCATGGTGACATCTTTCCAGTGTCCTAAGCAGAGTTTTCTGGAGATAAATCTCAAATTACAAAATATTACGTACAGAGAAACCCCATTTTTTTTATTTTTAAAAAAAGAGTAAAAGGGGGCGGGAAGCATACTCATTTTGCAAATGAATACACTTACATATACTAAAATATTCCTTAGGTTGTCTCTGGGTCATAAGATTAGAACAAATATTTTTTTATCTTAATCTTTGATGTAATTTTAAGGAAAATGAATTATATATATATTCACTACACGGTTTCTTTTAAATCAGAAAACAAGTCAAGTTAAAAATTCAACGTGAATTAGTCCTCAGATTGAAGCCTAGCAGGTGTTTCCACGGTGGCCCAAGCTGCGAACACTAGCAGGAATGAGCCCAGAGCTCCATCTCCAGGAGAGGCATGGGGAAAGGACGCAATGCAACGGGCCATCTTGCAGTAGCAAGGGAGCAGGTTAGCTACACACAGTACCAGGAAGGGCCTTAAAACACAGAGCCTAATAAAACAGAAGAAAATAGGATGCAGAACATCACATCTAGCCATTGAAACACCTATTTTCTGAAACAGTATTTATTCCATGAGAGTAGATGCACCTAAAAAGACACATACTATGGTGTCCAGGAGACTGTATAGCAATGGGGTATGGAATATAAGAGAATAAATACAAGGTCTGTTGTGTCAGTGAGGATAACAATGATGATTACAGGGTTACAATGAACTTAACTCTTCCACTAGAAAGTGAAACAAAAATTCCCAACAGCTGCACCTTTTCTATGAGACTTTGGATCAGTAACAGCCACAACAAGGTAGAAGGAAGAAGGGGAAATCCCAGATGTCCTCTCTCTGCCCTTGAGGAGGAGTCGGAGGCCTAGTTGAGAATATGCAGTAACCCTGAGCCACACTGATGCCTGTGCTACATGCCTGTGAAGGGCTTCACCATCTTATCGTGTTGATAACTGTAGTTTCTTGCCTCTGAGGTGGCTCAGTTTTATAGAGGAGGAGATGCCTCATAAGGAAGCCTTTTTAAAAAGGCCATCCTTGTTTTTCAGTGAGTATATGAATCTTACCCATGGCCAGCCCTTGCAGCAGGCTATAAAAGGTGATGGAATGGTAAAAGTGTCAACTAGACAAGATCTGGAACCCCTAGGAATTGAGATTTTGAGGAATCCTCCAGAGCAGCCTAATTTGGATGGGAACGCACACCCTCATTGCGGGTGGCCCCAGTCCACCAGGGAGGCTCCCGGACTGACTGAATTAAAAGGAGAACTAAGAAGAACCCAAGAGCTAATCAGCATTTGCCTCCTGACTGTGGATGTCATGTGACCAGCTGCCTCACACTTCTCTTCCCACGACCCCCCCCATCAGGACGCACTGAACCCAACGATTGTGAGACTCTTTCTCATGGCGATTTTGTCAGGTATTTGTGCTGCAATGAGGCAAGTAACTAACAAAAGTCGGCAACTGGATGTTGAAGAGACCAAAAAGTAAGTTCCACAGCCTTCAGAGCTGGGAGAAATCTTTCCATGTCTCCCTATAACGGGAACAGAATAAATGGAACCAATGGGGACATCACCTTCAAACGGACTGTGTGACCCTAGTAAGGAGAGATTCAGTGACAATGCGATAAGTGGAGGACTAGAGGCCGCTGTCCTGTTTACCGGGTGCCATTTAAGTCTTTAGAGATTTCTGTAGTTGTTGTTTTTGTATGACACCAGGGAAGGAGCTCCTAAACATAACTGAATCACACTTATTACAGTAACCCAGGTGGAAGGCTTAAATATCAATTAAGATTGAATCGTGCCATTTCCTGCACCTGAATGCCATGAAATAAATCCCTGCTAATCACGGTGTGGGTTGTCTGTTGAGAATGCTGTGATGTCTTGAGCAAATGTAGAAATTAGAACCACCTGCTCTGGAAACTGTGACCCTTCTGGAGACATTGGGAGCAATGTGAAGGCCCACGCTGAGTCTCTGAATACAGGGACATGAGGACAATGAGTCTGAAAGAATCTTGCAGAGTGTGTTCAGCCGGACACAGCCAAGGAAGAAAGGAGGGATGCACATTTTTTTCTGAAGCGATGAATGTCTTTTTCTAGCTCCAGAGAAACATCAAGAAATAGAACAAAAGGTTGGTTTTTAAAATGGGGTCCTTAATTTCAGGTTCTTAAGGCATTTTCTTTTCTTGAGAAGAACAATTTTAAAGTTTCTTCCTAGAGGAGGGGTATCTTCCTGGCCAGAACCTGGAGCCTGGGAACAGCCCCACAGTTCTAAGCCCAGAGATGTGTCCTAAGGCTTCAATACAGTAAGACAGGCAGGGAGTAAGGGTACTCTTCCCAGAATGGAAAGCATAAACTATTTCCTGGGGCCGAAATTCCTCCACTAGGAAAAGAGATGGCCACATCTTAGATCACCAAGATTCTGTAGGCAAGATGCCATGATGGATGGAACAGGAGTTGAGGCCATTTGTTAGAAGTGTTACATTTTTACAGTGACCTTTGAGCAAGTTTCCGTGCTTGTAGATGAATGCCTCGGTGTGAGATGGAAGCAGCTTTGCAAATAGCCAGCAAATAGCCAGGGAAGGCACCAGAGTCTCACGTAAGAAGTTACACTTATGTTACATCTTGGGTCCTTAGGATGCTGAGACCCTTTAATACTTCATGTTGTGGTGACCCCAGACTATAAAATTATTCCATTGCTATTTCCTAACTATAATTTTGCTACTGTTATGAATCATTATGTAAATAGCTGATATGCAGGACATCTGATGTGCAACCCCCCAGGGGGCCATGGCCCACAGGTGAGAACAGCTGCTCTACGAGTTTAAGCTAGAGATGCTGAACGAAGAGGGGGAGAGAAGCAAGAAGCTGCTGTGCTCCTCGTCGGAGGCAGGGGCATCACTTCTACGAAGGACTGTGTCAGGGACAACTGCTCAGGCCTTGCTAGGGAACACAAGAGGGGTGTGGGGGTGTGTGCTGCTAGTTAATGCTCTTGTTGCTGCTTTTTTTTTGCGGGGGGTGGGCAGGTACCCGCCCGAGAATGTGCAACAAAGGAAACCACAGCCATTGCACAAAGCACCGCCATCCACACTCGCTGTTCAGTGAAGCGCACACAGCTCTCAGGGGGATCTTGTTTGGAGAGAACGGGTACTTATTGGCAATTCTTTCAGAGACAAGGATCCAAGTCGAGAATAGTCATATCAAGTTGAGGCATGTTTGGGACTGTGTCGAAGAACAGGAAAGGGAAAAGGGAGAGGATCAGACATAAGGTGGCTTAGTCCGCTCCCTGTTCTGGCCCACAGAAAGCATTCAGTAGACTCTTTTCTTAGGTAAAAAAATAAGTTACGCTGATATGTGTCACCCAAAGAGGAAGTGAAGAGAATCCTAGTTAGAGATCCAAAGCCATTGTTTGTTCTAGTTCATTGCTTAAAAGCTGGGCATGGTCCTAAAGAGCATATATATATATGGAGAGAGAACCTCATTCAGCCATAAAGAAGCATGTAATTATGGCATTTTCAGGAGCACAGATGAAACTGGAGATCACCACGCTATGTGAAATATGTCACCTCACAAACACAAGTACCGTGCATCTTTTCAGATCTAGAAGCTAGACAAAGGGAAGATAAAAAGGATGTGAGACTGAAATGGTGACTACTGGGATGTTGAAACGGAGAGACCAGAAAAACCTAAAAGCAATAGAGGATGAATATGATCCAAGTTCACTGTCTACATATCTGTAACGCAAATGTCTTAAGAAAAGTTATACACTATACACACTATACACTTTCTGGGGAAAGTGGGTGGGGCTGGGAGATAGCTCAGGTGAGAGAGTGCGTACCATACAAACGTGAAGTCTAGAATCCACTTCCCCAGAGCCCATGGGAAAAACGAGGCACAGGATGCAAATCGATAATCCCAGGACTGCAGATGTGGAAAGAGGGGAACCTCTGGACTGTTGGCCAACCAAGCCAAGTCTGCATTCTCCAGGTTCAGTGAAAGAGCCCATTTCAAAATAATAAGGTACATTCATGCACACACAGACACACATTCACATACACGTGGTCAAGGATTTAGCTCATTTGTTTGAGTCTTTACCCAGCAAGTACAAAGCCCTGAGCTGAATCCCCAGTACTTGATAAAACCAGACAAGGTAGCATATAACTGTAAACCCTGCTATGAGGAGGTAAGGGGCAGGAGGATTAGGAATTCTAGATCATCCTTGACTACACAGTGAGTTTGAGGCCGGTCTGGGATACATGAGGTCTTGTCTCAAAACAAAACAAGGCAAGACAAAAAACAAAACAAAACAAACAAAACCCAAGAAACCCAACCAGGCAAAGAAACAAATAAAACAGGTGATTTAGATGATAGCGATAGATAGATAGATAGATAGATAGATAGATAGATAGATAGACAGACAGACAGGTATAGACACACATATATCTTAGATATATAAGCTAAGGGCATAAGTGTCAGGGGAAGTGAGGTGAAGACAGAACTTGTGTCTGAAGTTCTAGTCGGATTGTCTGGCACTGTCTGTACCTGCCATTTCCTTTCTTTCTTTTTCTTAAAAAAACAAAAAACAAACAAACAAACAAACAAAAAACACCTTTAACTGATACTTTTTGGACATTGGCCTGGTACTATAACCAGCCTCATGGAGACATGGTTGAAGTTAAAGCTGCAATTTCTCCTCTCCAAAATGCTCTACCATGGAGGGCAGCTGTGGACATGCTGCCACGTGTCCCCTTTCACCTTCTCTGTCCTTGCTCTGACTCCAGCTTTAACAGAGCTTGGGCCTTTCCAGTGGCTGCTGCAAGTTCATCATCAGCTATAGAATCGGGCCAAATGGAGCAAGGGGGACGCTGCTCTCTCTGCATTCTTAAATGCTGCGTTTCTTTTTAAGATATTTCTCATTTTTATTAGTATTTGTTAACTTACACATGAACAGGTTTAGTGATGTAAAAGTACATACACCACTGGCATTTCAAACCACGAGGTCTAGTGAGGTTTGTAGGCAGGAAAAGCTTTTCTCTGCACGGCGACAATCCTGTGATTAAAGCTCATCTCCTGGTAGACCCAGCTTCTGCCCACTGTGTCCCATCATTGTTCTGGGTCCTTCTGATTGGTTAGAGACAGTGTGCTGGGGGACTTTTGTCCGCTCACCAGGGACCTAAGACTTTTATTTTTATTCCACACTAACTGGGTTTTAAACAAGCCTTGAAGCCTTGAAGCTTCCCAGGGCTGATCTTTCATGAAAATGGGGAGACAGGGACTGAAGTAAAATTCAATGAGAACGGCAAAACCAGAGAGGTCGGAAGGAGATAAAGTGAAAGCACAGCTTTAGACAGGCCAGGAGGGGTCGATGAAAAGAAACATCCAGAACGTAACTGTGAGGTAGGGAGCTAAAAGCCAGCAGGTTTTTACATTTTTCTAATCTCTGTTGCTATCCAAAGTATCATTTTTTTAAAAAGCAGACTATTAAAGATCCCACCAAGAAATCATTATTAAATTACATGGCCCAGAGAGACTGGGCAGTATTGCAGAAACCAAGAATATAAAAATCATTACATTTAAACCTTCTTTACCTGCATTCTTCCTATTTTCTGGGAGCACCTTTTTACACACACACACACACACACACACACACACACACACACAGAGAGAGAGAGAGAGAGAGAGAGAGAGAGAAGAAAAAGAAAAATGAAATGACATTGATGTCAGTCCAGAACAGATTATTTGGGGACTCACTGTAAGAGTGGATAAATTTGGTCAGGGCTGGGAAAAGAAATACACATGTGTAGAGTAGTGCTCTAAAAACAGTAAAGACTGTCATTTTTGTTGTTGTTTTTTTTTTAACTGTCATATTTTTAAATTGATTAAATCTTTAATTATCACTACATTATAACCATGTTAACTTTAACTGAGCATCTACAATATTTGATGTTACAAAGTTCCCAAAGGGCACCTCACACTAGAGTCAGTGTCTCAAGTTTGGACATTGTTTGTGATGGCTAAGAATCTGCCGTCAAAATCAGCTTCCCACCGTCCCCCGACATTAACTGGATTTCCCCCCTCTGTTAACCCTGCACTGTTGCGGAGAGGTGGTTTCTGTTACACACCTAAGTTTTTCTTTGTCCTCATCTTCTGGGGTAGCAAATATTTTCCACTGGTAATGGGCAATGATATTAGAGCGATTGTGAATGGTTACTGTCTGCTGATTGACCAGGGATATGTAGGTTTTCTCGATGGTCAGAGAATTCTTGTCCAGTCTTATATTCACATCTATGGCTGTTCCACAGAGACGCACAAATACTGTTTCACCTAGGAATGAACAAGGTAGAAACACACTTTAAGACTTATTCTAGGATGAGGAGATGGCTCACTTGATAAAGTACTTCCCATGTAAGCATGAAGACCCGAGTTCAATTTCTCAGAACCCACACAAAATGCCAAACATCTGCTCGGAACCACAGCGCTGAGGATGGGGCCACAAATGGATTCCTGGGGGCTTGCTGGCCATCCAATAAAGCTAAAGGCGAGACCCTGTGTCAAAAAATAATGTGGATTGACGAAGACACCTGACACTGACCTGAGGCCTGTGCAGACATGTATAACACATCTGTGTGCACACATGTAGGAGACTAATTCTAGAGTGATACTTCTGGTCTTTAAAAAAAAAATCAGGATAAGGTTAGGGACTGGTAGAACAACCATTTCATAGTTTATTCTCCCCAGGCCTATCAATCCAGGGTCAGATAACTCAATTACTGCCCCTGGTTGAAATGACAGGAAATTAAACTATCTTCTTTGGTCATTTTAGGAAAAATAAGCCACACGCACAATGAATTGTTAGGGAAGGTTCTCTAAGGACCTTCTTCTTCATAAATATCAGGTGCACAGCCTGGCAAGACCATGCACTACAGAATTATTAACACCTACCTCGTCTTTAGCTCCAGCACGAGCTAGTGTCTGGTTCTAAAAAAATGGAGTCAAATCTACTTGGGGAGAGCTGCTCATCACCAGGGAATTGAAGTCCTGATGGGGGTCAGAAATCAGGCTCCGTAAATTTAAAACCAGAAACTGACTGAGCAGAATCACATATCCAAGGAAAAGTGACAACAGCACACAGCACTGTGCCTGGGCAACGTTACACGAAAAGAAAACAAAAAACAAACACCACGAGGTAATGTAAAAAGACTATCAGGACGAGCGGCCCTCAGCAAAGCAGTAGTCCTGGACTACTGCAGACTCGCAGGCATCTTCATCCGAGGTGTGTGAAGTCACTGGGCATTCCTTAAGAATATCCTTTCTGGTGTGTGTGTTCGCTCTGCATATACGTCTGTGCCCTGTGTGCGTGTCTGCATCAAACAGGCTGATCACGCTGGAGCTCAAAGGCCTTTCCCTTTTAGGTGTTTGTAATTCTGAGGTGAATGGCCCTCCCGGCCAGGCTGTAGGCCTGAAGAAGACGCAGACCCAAGGACTGCAGTCTGTGTGCGACTACATCACTCTAATGTTATAACAGAGAAGGGGGCTGGAGAGATGGCTCAGAAGGTAAGAGCGCTGGGTGTTTTTCCGGAGGACCCAGGTTCAATTCCCAGCACCTACATGGTGGCTCACAACCAGCTGTAGCTCCAGTTATAGGGAATGTGGCTCCTTCTTCTGGCTTTTGTGGGCAGCAGACATGCACAGACAGATATGCAGAAAACACACACACACACACACAAAGCAATTTTTAAAAAACGGAAAGGATATACATTTTGTGGATCCGTGCTGTGCAAGTTTTGACTAGAATCCCCAAAGCATGATCGGTCACCCTTTATTTCCAGAAAACATTTTTTATTTATGAACAATAACCTAGGAGTCAAACAGCTAATTTGGCAAATTAATAACCTGAGTTCTGAGAAGCTGCTTCAGGCATGGGGGAGCTCTCTTGCAGCAGTTCAATGGAGCCAGGTGGAAGCCAGTTAATCTAGACCTGGTTATAACTCAGTGGTAACTTAGATTATACAGACCAAATATGTCATTTTTCACTATTTTAACACTAATTTACATGTCTGTTTTCCTGTTCCTAGTCCTGGCCAAGCAGACTAGCTTTCACGGTTTCCTACAACTTTTATCAAAGAAACTTTTCTTAAAGAAAAAGCAAGCATCCAGCCTTGGAGTCTAATGTTTAAAGATTGTAGATAGACAGACAGATAGATAAAATAGTTATACACAGATATATGTATAGATCATAGATAGAGATAGATAGAGATAGATAATTAAAATTTAAGCACTTATAAAAGCATGCACAGACTTTCTGAAGAAATTTAATTGGTAAAAGCACAGTTCTCATTTGCATATTCTCAATTATGAATGACTCTGAGTTCCATTTATGAGTTAATAGACAAGATAAAAAGATCTTCCCTATAAAATCTGGTTCAAAAAGAACCATGCCTTCAAGATGAGGGTGAACTGAAAGGAAATGGCCCTAGTATACTATCAGCTACCTTGCTGAAATTGCTTCTATCTTACAGAACACTTTAAGCTTCAAGTTTATGCCATTCAGATTCTGACCCGGGATACTAGGAAAAACAACTCATTTTCCTTTAGAGCCGTGGTTCTCAATCTTCCTAATGTCGTGGCCTTTTAATATAGTTTTTCATGTTGTGCTGACCCTCAACCATAAAATTACTTTTGTTACTACTTCATAACTGTAATTTTGTAACTGTTATGAATTGGAATATAAATATCTGTGTTTTCTGATGGTCTTAGTAAGCAATCCCTGTAATGGGGTTGTTTGACCCCCAAAAGGGACACTTGACTCCCACAACCCACAGGATGAGAGCTACTGCTTTAGATGAAGGCATCTACTTCTGAAATTTCAAATTTTCAAACAGCACATAGCCAAAAATAATGAGGTTTTCAAAGAACTGCAACCCCACATGTTAGAACTACTAACATGTGAAAACAGAAGTGGGCTCACCAAGAATGGGAACCAGGTACCACCAGATAGAGACCACACATCAATTACACATAGCATGTTCATAGGAACCAATGGAGGATCTTGAAGCTGTATCTAGAGAACAGCAGACTGAAAAAGGATCTAAAACGTGGAGAATAGTCACACTCTAGGACTTACAAGGGAAAAAAAGGCCTAAATCTTAAAAAAGACTTCGAAGGAGGAAAACAACCTTTAAGGAGTATCTATAATAAGAAAATTTCAATTTTTTATGATTTACAAAATACAAAAGGCAGCATGAGGAAATAACACGAGCACGGGGTTTCGTGAGGACCTCAAAATGGTGACGGTCATGTCTAACCAACACGATTATTTCAAGAGATGATGGCTAAGGATTTTCTGGAATTAAGAAAATTAGTTCATACTTCAAAAAAAAAAAGGAATTTAAGTGTAGTAGACTAAAGAAAGTGCATACCTAAATATATTACAATAATAAAGCCCAAGGAAATCAAAGACAAAGTCCTGGAAGCAGAGAAAGACACGGTATTACCCTCAATGGATCCATAGATAGAATTATACCTGATGTGTTAGCTGAAACAGTGTAAATTTTAAAAGGAAAGAACTTCAGCCTGACCAAGGGGGAAAATATGACAACCAAGAAGTCTATAGAAATTTTTCAGGTTTTTAATTTTTGTCTGAAAATGTTATTATTTTGTTTTTATCTTTCAAGGACACTAGAATGCTAAAATGCTCCCAGTCTAACTTTTTTTTTCCTTTAGCACTTTAAAGATGTCATTCTGTATCTTCCAGCTTTCCTAATTTCAGCTGAAGAGTTTGCCACCAGAACTATGAGTGTTCCTTTAAAGGTAAAGTGTCTTTTTTTTTTTTATTTTTTGATCATTTTGTAATGCTGTCTTTGCTTTTAAACAATAATGTGCCTACATTGGATTTAAATGCATCATGAACCAAAGGAAGAAATGACATGTCCTTTATTGATGTTGGAGACAAATTTGCAAAATTCAAAACACATTTTTAAAAGTCTACAAAGTCTGATGACCTGGATCTGATAGAGGAGAAAGTGGAGAATATGCCTGGACTCAGAGGCACAGGAGAAGACTATCTGAACAGGACCCTAGGAGCATATAGGCACAAAAAGAACAATTAATAAATGGGGCCTCATGACACCAAAAAGCTACTACTATTACTCTGCTAAACTGGCACAGTATTAAACTGACTTCTAATGACTTAACTGGTGTTGTACCCATTGATCAGTGCCTTCTTTCAACCCTCCTCACAGAAGCTTCCTTTTCGTAGATGGTAATGAACACAGAGAGCTACAACTGGCCAAAGTACAAAGAAGAAATGAGAGGCTGTGGGATTCTTGGCCCTAAGTGGAATGTCTATATAATATTCCCTCCTCGTCCCAAGGCTCAAGAATTACTGCAGGAGAAAGGGCAGAAAGGTGTGGTGGATGACTACAAGGCAACAGTGTTTTCCAGACCCAACAGGGCAGCTGCACAAATACGCTGACAACAGTTAATGACAGCACGAACAAGACCTGCACAAGCTAATGCCACACAACGTCCTGGCTTGGAGAGGGGAGGTAAGCAGGAAATGCTCTAGAAAACGAGCTGTTGGCAACTGATAGCTGCCAGGAATGGGACAGTCAGTCTGCGTTAGGTATGGTTCCTACCGTTGGATGGTCCCACTTGTAAGGGCCCACAGGCAGCACAAACTGTATTTGATGTCTTTTTAAAAGAGGACACCAAGTTGGGTGGGTAGCAAAGGAGATGGATCTGAGGGGAGTTAGAGGAGATGATGAATATGATCAAAATACATTGTATGAAAATTGTTAAGCTACTGAAAAGAAAAATATATCTTTAAAAATCAAGATGACAGTTCAGTAGACCAGGATAAGGTTGCAAAGCCAGAAATTAAAAAAAGATGCTACATATTCGAAAATGTGCACACATTTGTTCTAATAAAAGACACACAGATAAAAAATAAGCTTATATTAGTTCCCCCACAGCACAAATATAGATACTAAAGGGAAAAATGTTTGAAAATGTCATTTCTTGTCAAAGTGGAAGGGAACATGAGACAATTCACCCTTCTCCATTTCTGGAGTGAGTTTGGCAACATGAACCAAAATATCAACCAAAATCACCACACTGCAGGCTCTGAGTCTCATTCCTAGGAATGAATCCTGTGGGTGGGCTGGGTGCTTCATACAGTGCTTTCTTTCTTTCTTTCTTTCTTTCTTTCTTTCTTTCTTTCTTTCTTTCTTTCTTTCTTCCTAAGATTTTTTTAAGGTTTTTTTTTTTTTTAAACAGGGTTTCTCTGTGTAACCTTGGCTGCCCTGGACTTTGTAGGCCAGGCT